ATTTGTGTGTTTGTGTGTGTATGTGCGCGCGTATATACATATATATATATCATGCGTGCGTCCATATAATTATAACCAAATATTATGTATTTTACGGTATACCTCAGTCACATTCTCAGGGCGCACCCAGTACGTGGTCGTAGTGGTGCTCTCAGGTAATTGCGCTGGCGGTTCTTCCACAGGGGTCATCCCAGTTCTTTGGGCGGCATCGATGGCTACCTGCGTACGAGATGAGTTGAAAAAATGGGTTCTGTATACTTGATACGGAACAGCTATGCCAAAAGACAAACAGTGTACATGTATATACATATATATACTTTTGTATGTATATATGTCTGTAAGAATGCTTAAATACATACATGCAATGCTTAAGTACATACATATGAAGTTTTCTAGGTGATGGAACCGAGCAACATCCATCGGTACAGGTGTACGGGACGGATAGCAGCGGGACGGATTCGATGTACTTTAGAAGGCTTCTGTGATGTAGCTACAAAGCCAACGCACGGCCACTTAAAAGCCTATAACATGTACACTGTACACAGTATACTGCACACGTATACATAAGCACAGCTCACCACCACTCCTCCCCCCACTTACAGTATACACTATATATATATATATATTGTGCGTGTGTGTGCATTTAAGTTCATGCAAATTAGAAAATACAGGCAAAGGTATATATATATATTCACACATTTACATACATACATATACATCAATTCTTTTCATAAAATACCTTAGCACTCCAGTTGATCCAGCCTTCGGGCTCCATCTCATGCTGCTCACGGTACTTCTCACGCGGAGTGACCTGAGCGTAGAGTATACCCAGAGCCACGACACTGGAGGGTAGCAAGCGTGGTTTATGATTAGTATTAGATACACATGGTTCAGGCGATATGATACAGTGCGTGTGGCATAAGTATACATGATGATATGGCAAGTAATGTATTTTGGCAGAGGGTAAGGAACACGGTTACAACAAAAAGCCCGGCTAATTCTAGGCGATGGAGCACGTTGATGGTAAAACAACCCCCATAACTCGGTTCACGGACGAAAGGTCCAGGATTATGATTCCATACTACACACTCTCGTTGCTGAGAATTTATGCCCGATCACAGGACCACCCCAATGGCATGACATTCCTTCCTATTTTTAGAAGTGACGATGCTGATTGCACACACACACTGGCGTAAAGCCAATCGCTCCACTTTCCATACACAACAATCAACCCCTTTTCACGAGAAAAGGCAACCAGCCGCATCAAAAACTCACAGAACCTTCACGATAATATATTAGCACCACCACCTGGCAGCCATTCGTATACGTCCCCACAGTGTACACAGTATAGATCCGGATACACCAACCACACACACACAGCCCAGAACACGTGCATACGCAGATGCGTGCCCAACAATATCAACGACAAGGCCACCACCCAACCACTCACAAGTCATCAAACGTGTCGTATTCCGTTTCCTTCCTCTGCATGAGTGTCAGGAAGGTCTCCTTCATGCGGAACGGTGTCAGTTTGTCGTGTTTCTGTACGATCTTAAGCAACGCAGTGTATGACAGAGAGTTGAACTTGGCCAACTGCGTGAGCTCCAGTGTCAGCTCATCGATTTGTGTGCGGAGAATGGCATGATCCTGTAAGGCAAGTCAGCAGTAGGGAGCGAGTGAGCTGAGATTGCCATCCGGGTATAGATGTATATTTATATATATATATATTTAAGTATATGTATATATATAAATATATATTCAGATTTGTGGCAAGTATCTGGATGAGGTTAAAATATATATTTGTAATATATATATATATATATATATATACGTATGACAATATATATATATATATATATATATATATATATATATATATAGTATATATATATATATATATATATATATATATATAGTAATAATAT